GAAAAAGTAAGAATCAAGATGCATTATGTAAAGGTACAATTCCCAATGAGAAATGTAATTGTGTTGTATACCTACAACGTACCAATAAAAGAATTTTTAAACATAAATAAATAAAAATTCACCTGCTAAGAGCTGAGAGGTATAGCTTAGTGCTAGTGTGTGATTTGATTGCCCAGCACTCAGAAACAGACAAACCTTATCAGCTATAAATTAACATACAGCTGGTGGTTACCAGCTATAAATTACTAACATTATTGATTAAAATGTGTGACTTTCATCATCTAAAATAAGAAAGGTGGGCAGCAGTGTCAGTAACTTTGCTCTGAAAACATAAAGCTTATTCTGGTAAACACATTCCAAGCCTTTAGTCCTTAGTGTTTTCAAGAAGAACCAGATTTGATGCCTAGAACATCTATATCTGGTCTGTACTTGAAGTACAAGGGAAAAATTTCCTATGGCTATGTATCCTCTTTTTACACATTCACAACAGGACTGTAATTCATGTCTCACTGCTAGTGGCTTGAACCACCCGTGGTCCATGGTCCATGTGTGACTGTCCCACTTAGGAGGCTTTTTGTTAATTAGTAAGACCACCAATAAAAGTGGTTATATCCATTTGTACCAAGTGGTACAAGCTGCCCAATGGGACAGTCATGCATATACCACTGGTGGTTCAAGCTGACACGAATGTGTTAAAAAGAACTGCTGACTAGCTCCTGTTTCTTCAGTAACCCTGATAGCCTTTTTTTTTTTTTTTTAAAGCAGCATCCTAGATTCTGTCACAGAATAATGAGCAGTGGGGTTCAAAAACAAGTGCAGTTTTTTGCGTGTTTTGTTGAACTCTGTTATAGCCAGAACAGATGTGAGAACTTTGCCAGGACAGTATTTTTTAATCCCCTCCCTTCCAGTTCATATTGGTATATCTTTCCTTTGGACACAAATGCATAATCTTTTTAACCTATGGTCTTTGAAGTGATTACCTACAATCTAAAACTCAAAGCTGAACAAGCTGTTTTAACTTTTTGATGAAAAGGTTTAAAAATAATAAAAGTTAATAATATTACTAGTTCCTCTAAAAGAAACTACTACTGCCCTTATGATAATCTTCCTGCAGTATAATTACTTTCTCAAAAACTGTCCCTATAAGTCTTTTCACATATTTCCATATTCTATCCAAAACAAAAATTATTGAAATGTTCAATCTGTAATATTACAAACTCCTGTAAAATTTTTTCATGTATATATAAAGAAGTAAATGTTTACTATTGGGAGAAATTATTTCATTTATAGGTAAAATAAAAGTTTAGAGGTAAAGTCACAGGACATCAGATTAGCTTTAAGAATATCTTTCAATTAGCTAGAGATCTTTGTTAAAAGTCCTGATGTCATTTAGTTTTTCCCACTTAAGGGGCCGGGAATTTAGCTCAGTGGTTTCGCCGCCCACTGCACAAGCGCAAGGACCCGAATTCGATCCCTGGTACCAAAAAAAAAAAGTGCTTAATTTTTCCCACTTAAATAAATTTTTTCCCCACTTCTATTTTTCAGCAAGGAAACCCTAACCATGTATTCCTCTGTCCTAACCTAAGCAATTCAGTGACTTTCAAAGACAACACCCTCAAAAAATTAGGGAAGTTAGGGAAGATTGAAATATAGGATCAAGATAAGGCCTCTCTGCTTAGCTGGCCAAGAAAGAAAAGCCAGGTAGGTGATACAAGGAGCTGACCTGCTGTGGCACACAGCCTGGCCCTCTGCCTGCAGCAAGATGGCAAGTGGACCCACGAGTCTGGCAGCAGATAGAGGTGTGGCTGAGGATACATGCAAGAAGCCCCTTCCCAAGCGAAACTAGTTTCCAGGATTCCATCCTTCATACTTAAGGAATTGTTAATCCAGTGTACTTCCAGTGTCTCCAGAAAATAATAGGATAAAAATCTCCCTTTGCCTCTTAACCTGTAAGTCTGTGAACCCAAAAGCACCTCTGCTTGTTTTCCTGTAAACTCTTTAAGTGTTTTTTTCTGTGCATATCAGTACCTGCATATATCTATGTAGATAAGTCGATTCACATTACACATCCTTTTTGAAGTTGCTTGTTTATACTTCAGAAAACCAGACAGGCTTTGCATAACCTTTTCCAATTTGTGTATAATTTTTGTGTACAATGGCCACCACAACATATAGCTTTATATCCTTTCCCAACACATTTACAAAAAGCATTTGAATAAGGCTGAGTCATTTTTAATCAAAATGATGAAAGGGTTATTTGCTTTATTCCTTGTTAATGCTTATTAAAATCTGAAAGGAAGAAAAGGACTAAGCAGATGATGTTGAGGTAAAACAGAATTATGTACCGAGTAACATGCTTCTCTCCAACCAGTACTGTTCCTCATCCCCAGTGGCTTCATGTCACTGATGGATGGTAGGTCCTGTCAGTGGATTCAGAAGCCCTGGGCAGACAGTCCAAGCCATTTATAATAGAAGGATGTCAAAACAGTAAAAAGCAAAATATACACAGTTCAAAATTTCCTTTGATAGAAAATGTAATATTTGACGAATTAAGTTACCAAAATGCATAACAACATATTGTTGTAGACATAGAATCATTATGTTTATCACAACGTGGCAAGGTCAAATTATATATAGACTTTCAAGGGGGGGATATTGCTATTAGATTTTTAGTGTAATTTTCTATTGCAGAAGAATACATACTGTCTCTAGTAGCATTTATAGTTCATTTTTCATTCATCAAATAATGTACAGCAAGCACATCCAAAATGTAGATTCTGTGAAAAGAAACTCCCTTGCCATGGCATTCAAAATTCACAATGAATTTTCAGGTTAAAGTATAAGACTCCTCTGTTTTTGTATAACCAAATAGAAAATGTAAGAAAAATAATTAATGGATCCATTATTCTGCAGGAAAAAAAAGGTCTGAGTGTACAACTGCTTAGAATCTCACCTTTTCCCCAGCTCTTCAGGTACTAGAATCTACCTTGGATACCAGGTGTTCACCATTTACCAGCATGCGAAGGTCTCTGATGTAAAGAAAACATGTAGAGTATCTGGTGGCATTCATAGTGCAGAAAATCATCACTATTAAAAGTGTTTTGTAATTCATTTCATTAATCAACTTTTAAGGTACATCAGACCTAAATCTCAAAATAGTATTTTAATTCTGAAAAACACCCAGCCTTGGCCAGTTACATGTACTTCTGTTTGATGAATGACATTACTAATGTTCTTTGGCCAGAGCACAGAGTCCATTCAGAGTAATATAAAGAATTAGAGGGAAGACATGAGGATCTTTCAGGATGGCTGCTTTCACTAATGAATGGACTTGTTCTAGGTTAATGTCAGCTGCAACAAACAGGCTCTGCACAATCCCAAACCTTTCTGTATCTTTCACAGGGGCCAAAGTTGGGTCTTCAAGATCGCATATGCCATCATCAGATAAAGCACGAAGCTGAAATGACACATTTAAACAGACTGACTTTAAAATATAGAAAATTCACATAGTTGGACAGCAATATTAGGTAAATGTGGGGGAAAAACCCCTGACTTTTAAATTCCCCAATGGAACAGGAAAACCTTTATGATAAACAAGATGTATTTAATCCAAAACAGAACTTCAGAACTGATTTTATGTGCCTAGAGTCCTCTGTCTGAATCCTCACTCTGAACTGTTAAGTCCAGTAGATTGGAAAGCTCCTAAAATATCTTTATCATATACTAGTAGTTCATTGAGGGCTTTTTTAAAATTGAGACATATTTGTGGTACCTTGTGGAAATTGAGTATTTGTATGCAATATGTCATAATCTGAGTAATAAGCATTTCCAACTCTTCAAATATTAGTCATTTTTATATATTGGGGAATTCTGTATTCTAATCACTAGTATGGTCATTTTAACATTGATTCTTCCCATCTATGAGCAGGGGATATCTTTCCCCTTTTTTTTTTCTGTCCCCTAGTTTCTTTCCTTAGAATCTTACAAATTTCAAGATCTTCCACTTCCTCGGTTAAATGTATTCCTAAATATTTTTTGTAGGCTATTGTGAATGGGACAATTTCTCAACTGGTTCGCTGGTGTATAAAAATGGTACTATTTTTTATATGTTGATTTGTATTCTGAAATTTTACTGAATTTTGAGTTCTAGCACCTTTTTGATGGGAGTATTTCTATTTATAAAATCATATCATCTGCAAACATGGATAATTTAACTTGTTTCTAACCTGGATGCCTCTTAATTCTTTCTCTTTCCTCACTGCCCTATGACTTCTAGTACTATTAAAAAATAAAAGTGGTGAAACTGTATATCCTTGGTTTCTTACTTACCTTTAGGAACACTTTCAGCTTTTCCCTATTCACTATGATATTACCTGTGGGTTCTTCAAATATAACCTGTAGTGTTTGTGGTATGTTTCTACACCCAATTTGTTGAGTTTTTATCATGAAGGGATGTTGACTCAACCAGATAATTTATCTGTATCTATGTGTTGTATCATGCTTATTGATTTGCATATGCTGAAGCCTCTGGGATGAATCCCACCTTGTCACAGTTTATGATCTTTTTTTATGTGCTGTTGAATTCAATTTGGTTATATTTACAGGTTTTACCTCTGTGTTCATAAGGGGTATGGGTCTGTTTTGTGTTTTGTTATATCTTTGTACGGTTTTGATATCAAAGTAATAGTGACTTTGATGTCAAATAAAAAGTTAAGAATTCCATTTTGATTTTTTTTGTTTTGGAATAGTGTAAGAACAACTGGAATTTGTTTTATAGAATTCAGCAGTAATGCCATGAGGTCTTGGACTTTAATTGGGAGATTTTTACTGCTTCGATCCTATTACTCATTTTTGGGCTGTTTAGAAAATCTATTTGGCTTACTTTTAGTAGATTGTGTTGAGAAATTTATTTCTTCTGGATTTTCCAGTTTTTGTGATTTTCTGTTTATTTTCTTTTGCAGTACCAGGATTGAACCCAAGGCCTTCTGGGTTTCCAGTTCATTAATACATAATTATTCATAAGTTTCTTATAATCTATTGTATTTGTGTTATTAGTTGTAATGTCTCCTTTTTCCTCTGATTTTGACTCTTTTTTTCCTTGTTAATCTAGCTAAATGTTTCTCAGTTTCATTCAAAAAATTGTTTCACTGATTTTGGGGGTATTTTGTTTTGTTTTTATTTCTGTGCTGATGTCTATTTCCATCTACTAATCTGGAGTTTGGATTATTCTTGCTTTCCTAAGTCCTTGAGTACTTAGTTGTTTGACATTTTTTAATTTTTAAATGTACGTATTTTTATAAATTTCTCAGTACTACTTTTGTTGTACTCCAGACTTTGATACTCATATTGTCATTTTCTTTTGTTTCTAGAAATTTTCTTTTAATTTTTCAATTACCCATTAGTCACTTAACTAGCAAATACTCAATTTTCATGTATTTGTATATATTCCATTCTTGTTGATTTGTAGTTGTATTCCATTGTGGTGTGAGAAGATACATGATTTCACTTTTTAAAATTTCTTGAGATTTAATTGGTACCCTAAAATATGATCTCCCCTGGAGAGTGTTCCATGTGCTGATAATATGTATTCTGCTGCTGTTAGATCAAACATTCTGTAAATATTTGTTCCATTTGCTCTATAGTATGGTTCAACTCATTTTTTTAAGTTTCTGTGTGAGTGTTGAAGTCCACACCTGTTATTGTATAGAGTCTCTCTCTCTTTTTAGATCTAGTAATACTGAGTTTATATATTTGAGTGGTCCCATGTTGGATGTATACTTAGAATTGTGATATCTTCTTATTGAATTGGTTCTTTTATAAATATATAATGACCTTGTTTCTTTTTGTCTTTGACTTAAAATCTGCTTTTTCTATTCCTGCTTGCTTTTTGGTTTCCAAATGCATGATAGATCTTTTTAGTTGGTGTCTTTACCAATGAACTGAGTTTCTTGTAGGCAGCACATAATTGGATCTTGTTCATTTATTCATTCAGCCAGTCTATTTATTGGTGAATGTGATCCATTTACATTCAAGGTTATTATAATGGGTTTAAGCTTCCTCCTGTAATTATGTTATTCATTCTACCTCTCATTTATTTGGTAGTTTTCCATCACACCAAGATTTGTCTTCTCTTTCACATGAGTTTTGTATATCTGTGTTTAAGGGAGAAGTTATCCTTTCATTTCTAGTATAGAATTTCCTTAAGTATTTCTTGGAAGGCTGGTGTGGTCATGATGAATTCCCTCAGTTTCTGCTTATCTGTGAAATACTTTATTTCTCCTGAACTTTTGAAGGATAATTTTGCTGGGTATAGTATTCTTGGTTGGCAGAGGTTTTTTCCCCCAATATTTTGAATGTATCATCCCATTCTCTTCTGGCCTTTAAGACTTGTACTGAGAAGTCTGCCATAAATCCAATGGTCATTCCTTATTTATGACTGAGGCTTTTTTCCCTTGCCATTTACAGGATTCTTTTTCTTGTACTTTTAACATTTTGACTACAATATGCTTGGCAATGGTTTATTGTGTTTAAAGTTGGGGTTTCTGAACTTCTTGTACCTAGAAATCCATATCTCTTTGAAGATTTGGGGCATTATTTTACAAGATAGATTTTTGATGCCTTTCCTTTTTTCTTTGTCTTCCAGAATTCCCATAATGCAAACATTTGCTCATTTAATGGTGTCCCATAGTCTTGGAGGCTTTAATTTTTAAAAAACATCTTTGACTGGGTTCAGAAGATTTGTCCTCAAGTTTAGAAATTTGTTCTCCTTGTTCTATCTAGTCTTTTTTGTCATGTTATATTTTTTCATTACTTGAAATTTTTCCTTTTAGGATTTCTGATTGGTTCTCTTTTATGAATTTCTCATTCATACCCTGAATTGTTTTTCTCATTTCTTTGCACTGTTTATCTGTATTATCTTTTTTTTTTTTTTTTTTTTTGGTACCGGGGATCAAACTCGGGTCCTCGCGCTTGCACAGCAGGTGGCAAAACCACTGAGCTAAATCCCCGGCCCTATATGTATTATCTTGCATTTCGCTGAGGTTCCTTTCAATCATTATTTTAAATGTGTTGCCAAGTATTTCCTCCCAATTGAGATCTGTTTCTGGAGAATTATTGTTCTTCTCTTGAAGTCTCATATTTCTTTGTGCCCTTAGATTGATGCCTGCACATTTACCTCTTACAATTTTATGAAGGAGCTTTTGTAGGAAAAAAAATTTTTTCATTTACATAGGATATAGGACATCAGTTGGAGAGGTGTTTTGGATATGGGGGAGTTCAGCATAGTTTCTGCTTTCTTTATCTTTGATTTATGTCAGTAGTTTCCCTTAGTGGTCTGTACTGCAGCAGTTTATGGAAGTAGCTGTATGACTTTTCAGTGGATGCAGGCTTCCAAAGTTGAACGTCTTTGGGCTCCACTGAGTTGAGCTCTGAAAACACCAGAGCTTGTGTTGACAGCCGCCAGTCTCGGTATGGGATATGTCCTGAGGTGCTTCATGGCAAGCACAATGGATGGCAAGGATGGTAGCACCAGCAGCCACGGTCCTCAAACCACAGGATGGAACCATGTACCAGTGCCATGGGTTTTGCACAGGAGATGCTGGAGTCTATGGCACTGATAGTTGTGGATTCAAGGTTTTGGAACACAAAGGGAAGCTTCCCTTGGTCCTATAGGGCAATTGCAGTTGGTGCTGGGTCTTACAGCACTGTTAGTTGCTTTGTGGAACCCAGATACCTTCCTGGTCCCATGAGAAAATGAAAGTCCCAAGCTTTTAATACTGGCAGCTATGGCCTGAAGAGAAGGACTCAACATTCTATAGGTCTTTTGAGGCACCTGTGCAGGTAACATTTGGGATTATAGCAGTGGTATCCACACTCCTAGATGTGCAGGATGCTGAGTTGAGTGCAAATGGTCCTTGGACTTAAGAGTATTGTAGTCCTGGACCTGAAGGCCACGGATGGGAATGTTCCAGTTACTCAAGACAAGTACTAGTCAGGCCAGGCCTGCAACATTACTAACCATTGTCCTAAAGCTTCCAGAACAGTGATGGGACTACCCCCTTGGTTCTCAGGGCAAGCGTGAGTGGTGCTGAGGCTTTTTGCACCAGCAGCTGCAGTCTTGAGGCTGGGAGTTGTTAAGCAGACCACTGGTTCCCACAAGTTGACATGGATATTGATAAGGATTATGGTCCCTGGTAACCTTGTTCCTGGAGCTTCAGGACTCAACTGGGAGCTTTCCCATCTCCTGATAAGCACAGGTGAAGGTACAATTTTGCAACAGTGCAGAAGACTCAACATGCAAACCACATGCAAATACACGTTTAACTCAGGCTTCTGGCCACAACAGCAACTAGTTCTGAAACTGCAGAAGGCTGAAGGGGTTGTCTTCCACCTACGGAGGTGCACATATCCCTTATGCTAAGATGGCATATAGCAGTGGCTACTGTAGTAGTTTGGGTTTGGTGGTGCAACTTTGAACAGTGGTTTCACATTTAGACCAGCCAGCCCCCTACATTGGATTTAAAGCTCATGAGGACTGTGGAGTTCTCCTGCAGTTAAGCCTTCTGCGACAATTAGGGTTGCTGGCACTTTGTAGCTTATCTTTTCCCACGTTGTTCAGTTCCCTGCCTGGGTTGGAGAGCTAGGTTGAGGTTGAGAATTGCTTTGTTCTTTTCTCCAGATTTCTTACTGGCTTTCAGGGCTGTTTAGATTTTACATCACTATTTTGCTAATTTCCAGAGTCCTCCTTTGTTTGCTCTCCTTTAGTTCCCTGATTCTTCTCTGTGGGAGTCTCAAGCAGGCACATCTATTTTACTGCATCTGGTTTTTTTATTTAAATGATGATAGGAGAATTTCTTACATATTTTCAGGAACCCCTCAAAGGTAGGTATCATGTTTAATTATGCTTCCTCCCCAAGAACATTTGCCCTTACTGTTCCTTCTAACCTGGAATACTTTTCTATCTAAATTTGTCAGTTGCAACACCTCATCAGATAGCTTTCTGTCAGCTTTTTCTAACCCCTCTCCATCTACCCATCCCCAAACCCATATCCCAGGCACTACTGCATCATTTCACTCTTACAGAACTTACTATATCTGAAATTTTCCCTTAACAATCTCCATTTAGTCTACTTCCCCTGACTAAACACTCAGCTGCTCTTAAGAGCAAGGACCTTGTCTAAGGTGCTTAAAACAGATACTCGAGGGCTGGGGATTTAGCTCAGTGGTTCCACCACCTGCCTCGCAGGCGCAAGGTCCTGAGTTCAATCCCCCGTACAAAAACAAAAAACAAAAAACCAGACACTCAAGGTACTGCAGGAAAGCTAGCTCTGCCTGGAGGCTACTTTGGATATTGTCCTAATTCTCAAAATATATTTGAAATATTTAAGCTGCTTTTAGGGTCTTGATCTGTGTAACACATTTTTAAAGCACAAAATTTAAAATAAAAATCAAGTAGGCATATAAAATATGTATGAATTTTAACTGAAGGGAATCCAAAAGAATACCAGAAATGCTCTACCTAAAGGAATTATGTGTCTTGTTCAGGTTACTGAAGAGCAGTACTCAGCAAATTGTTTAAGTACTTAAGTGTTTATTATCAAAATCAGCCTCATGAATCTATACCTAGTAGGTTGTGCAAACACAACTCATGTAGTATAACGAGAGGCTTCATGTAACCATTTGGATCATGTGGCAAACTATGCATTGATGTTTTAGAGAGCAAATTAGACCTGAGCTTTTAAGTATATGAGCATCACAGCCTGCAGATTTCAGAATGGGTTCCATGGCCTTAGTGCCTGATGGACAAGTGCTAAGCAGAATCCAGCTTCTTATTCTAAACATCTATAACCCCTTTTAGCCATGGGTGAGTCTAGGTATAAAGGGGATTATAGAAACCCAAAAGGTGGTGGGATAAAGTTAACATTCTCTATTGATTCTAATTTACCTTCTTACCAGTTTTTGGTAAATATGTTAATCTACCTGACACTGTTCTCCCATACATCTTCAGAAAACCTCCCTCAAAGTTACTCTGGTCACAAGACAGATTTTGTGTCCTATAGGAAGCACATGATACTCCGATTCCTTAGAAGGTAGCAGCCTGGCTGCTTTGGAAAAAAAAAAAAATGGATATCTTGAAAGATTATATGAAGACAACCAGGAAGATCTTTTTTAAGAAAATGACTGTTTCCCAAAAGAGAAACAAATGGCTCTGTGGGTGGATAGTTTAGTGCACAAGCAGAGTGCCCTCCTTTCTGGGACTCCCAAGTGTTTTCTACCAGCTACTATGAGAACACCAGCAGAGAAGACCTTGGGAGCAACACAAAGGTAAGAAGAACGTGCGACCCATGCTCAAGGAAGATGACAACCAAGCATGAGTGTGTGGGAAGAATTACCTCACAGTGGCCTGAACAAGATTTTCTTTTATACTCACTTCTGAATGCCATTAGTCTGTAAGTACTTGGGAAGGGCTAAGCACTAAGCTCTCCGTTGCTGGAAAAGGGAACAGAGCTTTCATTTTTCTCATCATTGCACCAATTAAGATCTAATGGTACAGTTTCCATAACCACACTATGCCACCAGCCTTTAACCTCAGCTGGCCCAGTATACACATGCTGGCACATTTTTAAGTAGTTCAGTTTTTTGCTGTCAGTGTGTAAGAATGCAGTGCTCTCTGGGCAAGTAAAAATCTAGACTGCTCCTTGGAACAGTGCCATGCTATATAGTCTTCTGGATGTCTTTACTATGCAAAGGCACCAGCTCACTGTTCCCAGAATAACTGCCTAACACAATTCAGGTTCCTAGCTAGGTGGTCTGTGCAATACCTGCTTCCCTGATCTGACAACAGCTCTGAGTTATAGTCCTTTGGACCAATCACCAGGCTGCCATTGGCCCTTAGTAACGAGATCTTTAAATGAATGGGTGAGATATGCTCTGTTCTGCCCCTGCCTGAGCAACACCTACAGAAGCTGCATCAGAGTAGCTCCCCCATCAGGGTGGTTCCAAGGCTGCTTTATTTCTAGTTCATTCTATAAATGGCCCAGCCTGTAACTATAAAGTAAAAGCTTAACCTTGATTCTCTGGGACTACACTCATCATTACCTAACTCTTGCTCTTATAATTTTTCCGAGGGGAACAAGCTAATGATATTTCTAAATGATGGTGAAAGAAGTTGACAGTGTCTCCCTAAGACAAAGCAGTCCTGAATACCTCCTGTGAATATGAATCTGATGCGGAGTTGCATCAAGCCAGTCTAACCACAGAACTTCCCCTGGGAACAAAACAGCATCAGACCTATTCTTGCAGTGCAGCACCAAGATATGGCCATAGTCCCGAACAATGGGAAAAGCTGCAATTTAGAGTCTTATAAGTGGCAGTCCTAGCTCTGCTGGCCAGTTCACTAAATATTTTCCTTTGGGTCTCAGTCTTCCAGAGTTGTGGAGTGTGTATAAAAGTAGGGTTAATGACAACACCTGCTTAAGCTATCCTGAAGCACTGTGGTGGGTGAGAAAACTAGAGATGGGTGTTTTGTCAGCTGTTAAGAGTTTACCTCTCTATTTCCCCATTCCTGTCCATCCCCAGAGGGTTCCTTACCAAGTGGTACAGTGTAGGAATGATCTGGAGTTTACAGCAAATGCCCAGCAGAGCTGCAGCATTATCTGGCATTTCTGCAAGAGAAAAAAAAATCACATAGGAAACACAACCAGCCCATGGATGTTGTATTTCAGTATTTTGCCACCAGCTGGGCAAAGGAAGTGATTGGTAATTGTTAAATACATGAATGAATGGTATTGGCAGCAAAAACCTTTTTAAAAACAGATGTAGGAATCCAGTCACCAAAGGATATTCCTTTATTATCTGCCAATCAGGAAGAATGGCAAGACCAGAAAAAGAAAATCTGCCTGGAAAAGTAGAAAGCCTCCGTGATCTGGTAACAGAAGAGAAGTGTTCAAGCCCCTCCACATAATAGGGTTGTGACGTTGGGTATGCCTCCATTTCCTCATTTGACAGGTCATTGGTTTTGTTTAGTTTCTGCCATATAGCAGAGCACTACATAAACTACAAAGGGCTCCCCCTCATATCACCAGTCATTTTCAAGAGGAAGCTTCTGGGAGGCCTAATTGAGGAGTGACATAATCACACTACTGAGAGAGGGGGCTGCACCAGCAGGGTCCTGCCAAGCCCTAGGACAGGAAATCCAGGCCAATATTTTCAAAATGCATATTAAATACTTCCCAAACTAAAATAAATGCAGATCCCAAAAGGACCCCAATCCCTCAGGGGCAACCTTCAAGCTGAAAAGGTGAGTCACTTGCTGAGACACCTGACTGATGTATGGGTTATGAACTCACACTCTCTATTAACAAACATATTTAGAAAAAGTGGAATGTCACTGAGGCTGTGACTCAACGAGGACAATTCTTGTTCCCAAGAGGGTGAAGGCTGCTCAGATGAAGCGACAGCTCCCAAAGGACAATCCTACCAGAGAGCCCTTAACACTACCTTCAAATATTGTATAGGCATTTGCTACTCAGAAAATACTCAATGTCCCATGCATTCTCAAGGAGATCTTAGCCCAAACCAGGAAGACAAGATGGGGTGTCTATGTGGTCTAGCTGGGACAGACATACCTGGCCAAGCCATTTCACATGCTTCCCTTGCTTTTCAGGGGGCTCCTGACCCTCATATGATCATCATCCCCATCCCTTATTCCTGGAAATACTTTAGTTCCATATTACTCATTTAATACTATTTTGAGCATGGAACTGGATGCCAGAGGCACTACAATAAAAAAACCATATCTACCCTGCAGAGCTTACTGCCTACTTTTACTACTCATGGCCTGGACTAAATTGTTCTCCTAACTTCACAACTAGCAGTGCCTGCAACACAGTATAAGCTTCTCCAGAGTTTCTTGAGTTGAAATGAACTACTTTGCTTTTATATATAATAATGTAAGTCCATTTTACAAATGTCTAAGGAGTCCAGAGCTTGTAACCTGATTATGGTTAGAGGAAATTTTCCAGGAGACAAGTCAGATGAGGGACTGAAGTGCTAAAAAGAGGTGTAGTACTATAAACCCAGTATACAGTGTTAGGACCCAAGAGGAACCCATTTTCTGTTCCAGCACTTTCCCTAGATTCTTAGGAGGAAAAAGTCAATTCAGAAGTACCAGGATAAAAACAAATGAAAGAGCTGTTGCTGGGCATGGTGGTGAATGCCTGTAATCCCAAGCACTTGGTAGGCTGAGGCAGGAGCATTGCCATAAGTTCAAGGCCAGCCTGGGATACATAGACCCTGTCTCAAAAACAAAAAAAAAAACAACCAACTTGATCTCTGCTGTGACTGACATGTGAGTGAGATCAGAGAGATGAAGAAGGGCAGCACTGGTTCAGAAGCTGGCTACAGAGACTATCTGCTGAACCAAAAATTTTAACACATCTGAGCCTCCAGATCAGAAAAAAGTAAGTCGATCTTGCATTATGTGTCAACTTAGAGCAGCTGCCAGTATGGAAAGTTCCAGAGAAACTGAAGCTCTGTCTCTGAAAGGTATGTGCTACATATTTGATATCAGTGTGATACACATGGTGCCTATTGGACAGCCTATGGATAGAAATGTTACAAGCAGTGTGAAGTATTACAAGATGTAACAGAGTATGTGAAGAAAAGGCCTCAATGAGTTGAGTTCTGGCCTGTGGATTAGCCCTTTGACAGAATACTTGTCCTCAAAGTTTCTAATACACTGATGTTAACACTGGGCAAGTCTCCAGTGGAGTTCCACAGGGGCCTGTCCCTATCAACCAGTCGTGACTTGGAGGAAGACAGAGCACATATTCACCAGCACATAGAGCTGGGAGACACATTCTAATTTTTAAAAAATTCAAGATTCTTCAGCTGCTGTTTCTGTATGGTGTTGGGAGAAACCCTGAATACATCAGGAACTCGGCCCTAACAGCATCCCTTGAAGGAACCCATCTTTCTCACAAAAGGCAACCACCAGGCCCTTAAGCACAGTGAGTTCTGGATGGGAGGGACAGAAGTGGCAAGCAAGGCCTGCTGCTCTTCACTAACTCAATGACAGTCCCCTGGGAAGCCACCTCAGGACATGCAGGAGGTGTGGGTCCAGCCACAGCCCTGCTTCCCACCCTCCAGCAGGACACTGCTCTCTACAGCCAGGTGCTGCCATGGAGTGGAGCAGAGTGAAGCAATAAGTTTGCAGAGAAAGGCAGAATCACACGGACTGAGAGAAATGCTAGGGGAGATCAGCCACCAACACACACAGCACTGCCAGCCAATCAAAGGTTCTGTTGGGAGATAATTTCCAGGGTTCATGAAGGGGCCCCAGATAGGAGAAGCTTGTCCAAGAGTGGAGGAAGCTCAAGATAGAAAGTCCTGCTTCACTCTTCAGTCTCGGACTCTGTATCACCCTGCCAACTGTTCTCCACCTTGTACTGGAAATGAGGGACCTATACGTACCAAACCTTCCAATTATATCTCTGTCCCCAAAGCAGAGAAAGTGGCAGTTGCAAAGTTGACAGTAGCCATTTCTTTTTTTTTTTTTTTTTCCTTTTCTCTTTGCGTCCATACCTGCTAGTGCACTGACCAGGAAGTAGGCTGTTGCAAAGAGTTTCTGGTTGCTGACTTCATCCTCAGGGCCAGGACACTCCCCTTGTATCCTGCATCCCACCAGCTGCAGGAAGGCCATGAGGTCCTGCTGCTGAGGGGGCTTCAGCTCCCCCACTGCCAGCGCTGCCTGTGGGGACCAGAAGCCACCAGCCATGTCGTCACACTGCAGGGCAGGAGGACAAGAAAAGGATGCTGTGGTGCCCCCACAAAGTGCACCCCAACCTGGGGCCTCTGCCCCCACCAAACAATGCACAACCTGTATCTGCTTCCAAGTAAAGCAAGATGCTGGGCCTTTTCTATGTGTTGATGTTACTTATCCACAGGTTTAAATTTTCCAAAAGGAAACAGTAAGCTAACCCTTACCCAAGTACTATACTTCTGCAATGAGGGAAGGAGGCATGTGGGAACTGTTGAGACCCAGACCTGAGAAGAGTCTTTTAGGTCACACCAGAGACAAGGGACAAGTGATTACACACACAACTGATAAAGGACACATTAAAAGCATCATCATCTCATGGTCATCAAGCTCTAAAAACATAGCCCTCATGATTTAGTACATTCCCGGCAAGCCCTAGGCAGCCTCTTCCAAACCCAAAGGGCCAGTTGTGGGGCCAAGTAGCCTTTCCAGGCAAGCCAGCTCCCCACCCATACCCGCCATGTCTGGATCTACTTGCATGACAGCCTGTCCTCTACCACTGAGGCAGCATGCTCCTCCAGCATCTGACAGGGCAGCTGATGCTCTTGTCACAGAGTGCCGGCCCAACATTTTCCTTTTAGGAGCTATTTTAGGAAGTAAACAACAGCCTTTTTGAAATACATGTGTTCTCCATGGGGCTAAGCTCAGCATCCTCCAGAATGCAAAGGTGTCCTGGGCTGTTGCACTATTTCAAACATTGCAGGTTCCATCTCTGGTACCTAAATTCTTTCAGCACAATCTAATTTCAAGAGGGAAAAATACTGTGAATGCTTTCTTGGAAAGCATAAAGTAGTCAATCAGTTATTCCAACTCTCCTATAGAAACAGAAAAAACAAAACTACAGATAAAAAGCTTTCTAAAACCTTGGCCTTTTGAAGTGTGAAAAATCTGGAAAATCTGGGCATTTGGTTGACAGCTGGTGTTATCCCTCACCATTTGCACAACTAATAGTTAAGGAACTCACTCTCTCAGGAAACCCTGCTGCTGCCAAACAGAAAGATACAAGGCCTGCTTCTCCCTGAGCTTAACAAAACAGGTTCACTTGGACCACACCACATAGCCCCTCGTTGCTGTGGTTGCATAGCCCCCCAGAATATGTTTTCCTGTGATCTTATTTGGAATAGGTGTTGCTGCAGATATAATTAAGGTGAGGGTCTCGATGAGATTATCCTAAACCGGGGTGGGTCCTGGTTCCAGGATGGTATCTTACAAAAGAGTAAAGGAGAAGCCAGGCCTAATGATGCAGGCTTATAATCCCAGTACTCTGGAAGCTGAGGCAAGAGGAATACAAATTCAAGCCCAGCTTGGCCAATTTAGTGTCTTAGCAAGGCTGTGCAAAATTAGAGGGCTGTATCTCAATTCAATGCAAAGGCCTTGGGTTCAATCCCCCATACTCAAAACAAACAAACAAAAAAGATACATAGAGGGAACAGCTATGAAGACAGAGCAGAGAATGGAGTGAAGCAACCACAAGCCACAGACGTTAGGAGCCATCAGATACTGCAGAATACCAGGAAGGATTCTTCCCTCGATCTTCCAGAGGGACTGTGACTCTCCCAACACTTTGATTTCTGTAAGAAAGTTAATTTCTGGGTTTTAAACCCCAAGTCTGTGGTCATTTGTTGCAGCAGCCCTAGGAAACGATACATCCTCTCTCCCTGATATCAGCTACCTTTCTGCAGTTAGAAAATTAAAGACCTGTACCCAAGAATGAAAGTAGACAATGTTTGGAGAAAAATCAAATCCTTGGGCTAAGAGATGTGGCCCATGCACCTTTCCATATCAGGCAGGGGAAAATTCTGCCTGGAGAGATCCCTGTCTCACCACTTGCTCCAGGACCACCAGGAGTTCCTCATCAAACAGAACCACCTGCAAGAGGTTGCACAGAGCTGTCTGCTGCCCTGCTGGCAGCTCCATGAAGGGAAGGAAATTCCTCTCCAGTGGCAGAGTTGCTGTGAAAACAGAGAAGACCAAGTGTTAGGACTGCTGTGTGCACCTCGCATCATGGGACAGCATCACTTGCTTTTCACTGCTAAGCGTCACCAGCTGTCTCATACATATTTCCACCTACAGTCAGTCATGGAACTTGTAATAAAGGACACTGAGGTAAACATCGCCCTTCATGTTTTACTATAACTAGGAAAATTGTATAGGAAGAGAGAGAAGAGAAAGAAGGCACAGTTTTACATCTCAAGCTTCACTCTTCTTTGATGACTTCCTAAATATTAAGAAATCAATTTTAGAACACTCATTTAGACTCCTCTTTAGTATTATTTCTGTAGAATTAAATTCTCAAGGCTGAATTACTAAACATAAATCTACCTTTATGATGCTTCAGAGCCATACAAATCCCAAAATACATACTTTTTCATGCCCTTTCTTGAAATACCTTGAGGATTTTGTATCCTTTCACACTTTCTGCATGTTTTCAGAGGCGCTGGCACCCTATCTTCATGGCAAACCCAGGTCTTCCCCTTTTCCCTCCATTCATCCTCAAATTGTGCATGGAACCCGTTCAGCTGTGCTACTCATATCCTCTGCAGATACTTGGGAATCTCTCCCCTTACCATCCTCTTCTCTCTCTTTTTCTGTTTCTTTTTTTTTTTTTAAAAGGTTGTCAGACCCTTCTAATAAATTAAGCCCAGTGGAAATTTTCTAAAAAAGATCTGATTAAACAATGCTTTCATACACATCGCTGCATACTAATACATAGATGCATTACCTCTGCAGATCTCAGATGGCAGCAGTTATAGAAAACCTCATAGAGAGAAAGACATACAACTTCAGTAGCCAACATATTAAAAACTCCCTATAAACACAACTAGGTCTTCATCAGCCCCAGCCCAAAGAAAAGAGCTGTCCCAGTTAGTCTAGGATCTGGGGTACCACCAGGCAACTAGAAGGGTCAGCTTGAAAGGCGGGCTTGGGAAGGATGCAGTAAGAAAGCCATAGCCTAGGACTTGTCACTTCCAGGTAGTTTAGCTCCAGGGTGCATAGCTGCTGTTGCTACTGTGCTGCTACCCCCAAAAGGTAGCAAGAAGTCCCAATCAGCTACTTCCCAGGGAGATGTTGAAGACTGAGCTTTCATTTCCATGTCTTCTAACACAACATACTTGGACTCAGGACTCACTGAAGCTTCACTGAGGAGTCTCCTTACCTTTTACACCAAAGCACACTGTGAATGGTTCCTACCTCTTTTTTCAAAGCACTTACCAAATTTTGTTTCTCCTTTTCCTTGCCCATCTCCTTCTAGTGTACACTGCACTCCTTATATCCCACCAAAGCAACTTTTTAAACCATGACATTCTGTGAAGAGAATTGCTGCAGGCACCTCATGAGTCTTGCTCCTCCTCCTCTTTGGCACCATGTGGCTCATGCCAAGTGGATAAGGAGCCTCCAAGAGGGCACTCTGCAATGCTGACGAAGCATGGCTTGTCTTGGCAATGAAGCCTGGGATATAATGAAGCAGATGCAAAACCTGGGATCCCTATCCCTGCTGCAAGGCTATTCGTAGTAGTCAGCAGGCTTCTGTGGTTAAAATGAAAGAAAACCCAAGGGCCTTGGCTGCTTCTCTCCTCAATCTCCCACCTCTACCCTGTTTTTAAAACATTTCACAGGAGATCTGGTGTTCATTAAGATCCAACAGGAAACTCCTGCTAAGTAGACCAGGGCTCAGAGGCAGAGCCACTCTCTTTTCAGACGTTTTCCCTGAGTCCCCCAGGAGTCACTGATCCTAAAGGGCATACCATCTCTTGAGGTTCCGTGTTCACTGAGCCATCAGCTGGCCACACCCCACTCTGATGACAGTACCTTGATTTAAAACACTTAACAGCCCATCCTGGGAAGACGTCCCATGCCTGGCATCTGGCACATCCATGAAACCAAACTCCTGACAGGCCAGGTAGTCCAGATAGACAGGGTCAGATCTCCGCTCCTGCTCAAAGCCACCATGCTTCTCGTGGAGGAGGCAGAATTCTGTAGTGCACAGGAAAAGGACAGGCCAGGCCCGAGGTCGGCCCAGCCATGGCATGTTAGACCACCCATTACCTGGCTTGGGGTTGCAGCAAAAGACCCATCACCTTCCCCATAAACCACACTTTCTGCACACACCTATGTTGCTTGGCTGAATACTGAGCCACTCCCAACAAATACAGAAGCAATGGCTGTTCTTCATGTGAAACCATCTGGGGTATATTTTCTGAAATGTAGGAAGCCATCTTTCATACACTAGAAATACTTCACTATCCTGCTCTGAAATCTAATCAGATAAATGAAACCAAGCAGGTATAAAACAACTGAGGAGATTTGAACACTTACAGTATTAAAGAATTATCATCAGAGCTGGGAGTGCTGGCACACACCTATGATGCCAGAACTTTGGCAGGCTGAGGCAGGCTTGAGTTTGAGCACAGCTTTGGGAACCTACCAACTTGGTGAGACCTGTCTCAAAATAGAAAAATAAAAATAAAGACTGGGAATGTAGCTCAGTGCAAAGGCCCTGGGTTCAGTCTCCAGTATCCTATCTATCTATCTAAATAAATAAACACATATATATTTAGGTGTGTTCGTAGTTACAAGTAGCTATATAGTTATGTTTGTAAGGAGTCCTAACTTACTAATAAAGAGAATGATACACTGCAATAAAAGGGAACTAATTTCTACAATTATCTGAATAAATCTCACAAACATTCCCTTGAAAAAGAATACTTTCTACATGTATCTATTTATACAAAGGCAAAGCTAGTCTTTTTCATAAGCCTCACTGCTTAAAGGTGATGAAATAGTATATGTATATATATATGAAACAGGATAATGCCTAGAATTTGCTTCGAAATAATCCAGTGGGAAGGGCAGAAGGGGAGGTTAGGAGCTGTTTACTGAAGCTGGTCAGTAATGGTTCACTGTAGTATTCACTGCATTTCCATAAAGATAACTCCACTAAGGGCTCTAGGCTGTTAATAAACAGTTGTTACTGTATTTTTGCTGTGTAAAAATCAGTAAGTGAGCTCAAGATTCAAAGTTCTCTTTATGCTTCTATTTCACACTCTGGGTCCTTAAGCAAGGGCTAAAGAATTAAAAATGTGGCTGAGCCTGAAACCTTCTTAGATTCATGGCTGAGGCCTTACAACCAAAGACAGATTAATAAGAGAAAAGCACATAAATCCATTTAATGTAAGTTCTATATGTCACAGAAGCTTCAGGAGGGAATCTGGACCCGAGAAAGTTGCAGCCCAGGACTTTTACACAAGGTCTGACAAGGAGTGGAGTTGTGGAGAATCCCACAGGAGGTGTGACCTGGGGTTCTAAGCTGAGGGGACTCGGCACGGCCAGTGCGTGCAGACCCCTCGCTGTGTCACTGCGTCCTCAGAGGTGAAGATGCTCCTTTCCTTGGGGAGAGGGAGGGCACCTCTCACGTGAGGATCTGACACCTGCAGGGGGCAGGGTCAAAAAGTCCCTCCTAGGTTTGGTCCCCTGGTTCACAGAGGGTATTAGAAGGTCAGAGTGACCTTCCACTTTAGCATTTTCTCGAAGCCTTTACTTTGCCTCTTTGCACTGTTTCCTGCATAGCTTATCTTCTCAGTCACTGTCTAATGGACTCTGAGGAGTTGCAGGAATACGTAGGTGCAGACACAAAGCCCAGCTTCATCTCCAGTGATGTAAAAGGAGACTGTATGTCATGGGGTAGAGCCTTATGCTCCCCTACATCACTTGAGCAGAGCCCAGGGAGAGTGACCTCCCGGGGTATCCACATTGGAACTAATCCTTTAAAGGGTTTTGTGGTCTCATGTCCCAGACCCCATCATGGTGAAAGAGATCTAGAAAAGCCTTTGTGGACAAAGCAGTGCCCAGCCAGCCATGTTCAGAAGTTTATTGGGCAGATGGAGGCAGCCATGGCAGGCCTCAGGGATCAGAGTGGGGAGCTTTCCGGGACAGTGGATAAAAGTGAGAGGATCACTGGGTGGGTGGGTGGTGCTGGTGATGAGTGGGAAGGCTTGGGATCCACACCTGCAGCAGACTTCACTGTTGGGACAGAAGGAACCACAGAGGAAGTTTGAGCAGGTGAGTGAAATGATCAGACTTTCATTTTAAAATACTCATACCAGCTCCACTGCTTGGGTGGAACAGATGGGGCAAGTTTCAGAGAAGTAGTGTCCAGTTCAAAGTGGTTGGCAGAGCTGGGGAAGGGGCTAGGATGGGGCCAGTGGGACAGCAGCAAGGACAGATTCAAGGGCCAGGTAGGAAACAGCTTCACAGCCTTAGGACAAAGGATCAAAGTACATGTGGAAAGACACTGGCAAATACCAAACTATACACAAGTGCAGGGCTAAAGTTCAGAATGATAAAGGTTATTTTTGGTTGGCTATAAGTGTTGCCATGGAGCAGAGCTGTTGAAGAGAGGTCCACACTGTCACTGGGGGGCTGGGAGCCAGTCGGCCAGACAAGGGAGGCTTGGGCCTCTCAGCGTTTCAAAGGGCAGCGGGGCTGTCCCAAGTGATTCCATGGAAGCCCTTTCAGGCCCTGAAGGTTTATGAAGCTGTATCAGAACATTCTGTGGTAAGAGTGACAAAAAATACAGGTGGACAAGAAAAGAAGAGGAAACGCAGAACAGCAGGCTGTGCATCACCCAAATGGGCTGACCGTGGATTGTGAAGCTAAGCACAGGGAGAGGAGCTTGGAGGAAGCCTAGGAGAGTGCAAAAGGAGTGGCCAGATATTCCCAGAGAACCTGTTCTCAGCAGCACTAAGAGGAGATGATTTTCAAAGACAGCTGAAGTCAACAAAGATAAAAGCCTTCGAATTGAAATGCAAATGAGAGCCATGCCAGAAAAAGCAGCGTGTCTTTTAAACCTCCAACTGAGAATAAAGACACCCTCCTGGGAGACACAGGCCATCCCCCAGGAGCTGCAGGCAGGGGAATGACCTAGCCCAGCTGGGCCCCCAGCCACCGAAGTGTCCTCAGAGTGTTTGTGGGCCTCCTCTGGTAGGAGCCAAGATTTCAAAGGCCTTGCAAAAAAGACACTTATTTACAGTGGTCAAGATACGGGAACAGTGTGTTGACAAAAGAATAGACACAGAAAATGTGGCACAAAAGCACAATGGAATACTATTCAGCCACAATAAAGAATAAAAACCTGCCACCTATGACAGCATGAATAAATCTGGACAGCACTATGTGCCAGATATGGAAAGACAAACATTGTGTATCACACTTACATGTGGAATCTAAAATAGCCAAACTCACAGAAGCAGTCAGTACAATAGTGTTGGCCTGGGGTTGGGAGGTGGATGAACAGGGGAGATGTTGGTCAAAGGGTACAGTTTCAGTTATGAGTAACTTCTGGGGGTCTAACATACAGACTGTGACAAGACTTAGTAATACCATGTTGTTAGCCATGACTCGGTATCCAACCACCCAACAACAGAAGAACAGATAGAGAAACTATGGTTACAGCTGCACAATGGAATACTACACAGCCATTAATAAGAATGAAATCTTATCATATGAGACAACATGGATAAGCTTGGAGAACATTATACTGAGTGAAATACAACAGAAAGACAAATATTACAAGACCTTCTTCATATGTAGCATCTGAAATTTGACCTCACAGAAAGAGAAAACAGTGGTTCCCAGAGATTTGGAAGGAGTCGAGTAGAAGGAGATAAAGAGGGACAAAGTCACAGTTAGGTAGGAGGACTAGGCCCTGGTGTTCTATGCACAGATGGTGACTACAGCTAACAACAGAGTGCCAGATATTTCAACATATCTAGAAGACAGGTTTTTGAATGTTCTCACCATAGAATGATAAACACACAAGGTGATGGATATGCAACCTTGGTTTGATTAATATTCAAAGTATACACATTCTGAAACAAATTATGCTCATAAAGATGTACAATTAACAAGGCTCAACTAAAAATACTGTATTATGTACTTTGTTTGCTAAGACCACAGATCTTAAATGTTCTCTTACACACTTCACAAATGGTAACTGAAGTGATGATGCATTAAGTAGCTTGACTGTGGCAATTTCTTCATAGTGTAAACGACATCAAATCATCGATTTGCATATTTTAAATATTCACAAATTTTGTCAGTTTTACCTCAATAAAGCAGGAGAAAGTGACACACTGACCCTTGACCACCAAGGGATCCGTGCTGGGCTGAACCCTGCGAGTGCATGTGCTAATTCTGCTTATCACATGCTGACACAGGAACAATTCAGTCACCTTTACAATGCAGTTTGTTTGGAAGACATGTCTTTCAAAGAGTAGGAATAAAGTAACAATGGTGAAATTGCCTGGGATGACACAAATTAGGAATTATGTACCTAAAGGATGAAGTCACAATTCCTGGAGTTCTTGGTTTTTAGGTGTCCCTGACCTACCTCTCTAGACCAATTTCTTAAAACTGCCACCTTCTCTTTGTGTCACCTGAGGATAATCATTCCTGCTCCCCAAAAGATAGGCTGCTTCATCTACTGAACGAGAGAGAGAGGGTCAGTGATTTCAGTCTGTGCCCCTACCTACCCTTGATTAGCCATGAGCTTACTGGGGTCATGCAACACTGCATTCTGTCTGTCTGGAGAAATGGTGTGGGAAGTCACTGGTGTGGGCTCAGTGATTACAAAGTTATCTCACGGAAGATTCTTCTTTAACCCACTTCACTGAAGACAAGTGAGGTAAGGGCAAGAGAGAGCTTGGGGCATGCATGGCCTATTATGGCAAATTTTTACAACTGTTCTCTTATGGAAAATGCCAAGGTACACCAAAGCAGAGCAATGAGCCCACATGTTCCCACTAACCAGCTTCGAGGACTGTCGCAACTGGCCACTTCTCTGCACCTCCACCCCCAACTTACACTCCACTCATATCCATCTTGGAAGCAAAACTGACACCTTACCATTTCATCTCTGAAATTTCAGAACAAGTCTCTAAAAGAAACTTTTTTATAAACATAACCATAATATCACGATACCTAAAATGGTAGCAAACTTGGTTATGTTACATTTACTCATTCAAGTCCCCAAGAATCAGCCAGATGGTTTTCCCGGGTTTAAGACGACCTCTTCTCATTAAGACCAAGAGGGAAGCAGCCATGAGCATCTAAGAAGAACAGACATTAGCCCTTATTTTCTTCAAGTGATAAGAATGCCATGCTTGTGATCGGCAGAGGAAGGTCAAATTCAGCAATTCTAGTTTTATATGAGGAAAAGAAAGATAGGACAGCAATGATAGGGATACGATTAACGACAGGTGAAGCCAGGCATAGTGGCACCACCTGTAATTCCAGCAATCTGGGAGACTGAGGCAGGAGGATCACAAGTTTGAACGTAGCCTGGGCAGCTTAGCAACTTAGATCCTATTTCAAAATAAAAAGTAAAAGGGAGGCTGGAGATGTACCTCAGTGCAAAGGCTCTAGCTCAATCCCCAAAACTGAAAAAAAAAATTTTTTTTAAAGGTAGGCTAGTAAGTAACTGCACTTCCTGTGCCTCACCTAGTTTTAATAAGTTCCCACCAGCTTGAACCATCGGTGGTCCATGCATGACTGTCCCATCAGCCAGCTTGTACCTCTGGTGGTACAAATGGATCTAATCACTTTTATCAGTCTTTTTACTAATAAAATTAATAAAAAGCCACCCAATGGGACAGTCATGCATGGACCACCAGTGGTTCAAGTAACCCAGCACCAAGACATTCAAATTATGACCTGTTGTGCACGTGTTAATCCTTGCACCAGTCCTTGAGGGGTTGTCTTTCCCCTTCCAAGTGTGGGGAGCTCAAACTCAGCAAAATCGGCAGTCTGCCTGAGATCTCACAGAAGGTCATGGGGCTGAGGCTGACACCCAGTCTGTCTCACTGCAGAGCTCACATCTTACCCCTTTCCTACACCGATGTCTGGGGAGGGAGAGGAGGGGCTGCCCCCGGGTATCTCCCCCACACCAAGCCTGTCCACCTTGGCCAGGGACCAGGTGACAGGACACTTCTAAGCTCTTCTGCTACCTCTTCCCTCTCTCCCCATGACCCCAAAGCAGAGGGGGATCCTCTAGAATGTGTGCCCGAGGCGAACATGATGGAGGGGCCCTCAGCATCCTTACAAGTGGCACTCACCAAACTGGCCATCCTGTTTCACATATAACTCGATGATGCCATAGGCGATGGTGGTAGCAGCCGGGATCTCCAGCACCACACTGGTGTCCTTGATGACATTCCCGTCCTCCATCGCCGACACCTGTGGATGAGAGCACACACTCCCACCTGGGCACTCACACCTTCCTTGGTCTTTTCTGCCTCCCCACTGTGTCCAGCCTCTGCCTTCTACGTAAGGATGCTGAGGACATGGCCACAAAACTGAGGGGAAAAGAGGAGCCAACTGGCACAAGTAAAGATTTCACCCCTGTTGGCATCAGGATGTGTTACATACACATCCTGGCGAACCTTGTGGCATAAAGGCGAGATTCCAGAGTGTGGGACACAGGGAGCCTAGGTGTTCAGTGCTACATAAAGGTAAGTGATGCACCACATAACTATGTTTCAGTCAACAACAGACCACATAAATCGAAGAGGTCTGATGCCATTATAATTAATGGAGCAAAAAAACTCCTGTCACCTAGTGGCTCCACAGCCATCTCAATATGGTTGTGCAATGTATCACTCGTGTTTGTGGTGACACTGGTGTAAATAAACCTACTGCAATGCCATCATAAAAATCGTGTACAGTACAGAATACTTCATGATGACAATTACTGTTACTGGTTCATACATTTACTACTCCTACTTATAAAAAATGCACTATGAAGCAGCACGCCATGTCACATTGGCAGCAGCCTCGTCCACCTCTCTGGGAGTCTCCTGACGACATCAAGAAGCCATGTGGAGTGGCTGACCAAGTCCATCCACGACTGTGTAAGCAAACGTGGTGATGATGTTGTACAGCAACAAAACCACCCAATGATGCATTCCTCAGAACACACTTAAGTGATGCAGGGCTATAAGATAAATAAGATCGCATTCTAATTTCCTTCATGTAGGAAAACAACCTGGAAATCCCAATGAACATTCAAAAGGGGCTTGATGCTTGACTGGGAGAACCTCGCTGAATCGCTCCGAGGCCAGTGGATGGGGCTCTGGGCTGGCAAACAAACCTAGGAAGAGAGAGGCAAGCCAGGAGAGGCTGGAGGGAGGAGAAGCTGGTCCTAGAAGGGCAGGCAGGAAAGGCTGGGAAGTCAGGCTCCAAGTTTCTCCTTCAAACAATGATAAATATGAGCCCTTCCTGCCAGCTGTGGTGACACATGCCTGTAATCTCGGCACTCAGGAGGCTGAGGCAGGAGGATCACCACAAGTTTGAGGCCAGTCTGAACTACAAAGTGAGACCCTCTCTCAAAAGACAAAAAATTAGTCCTTCCTACAATGCCTTGGGGAAAGGACACTGAGAGCTATTTGTTGACCAAACACTGGAGACCAGAGAACTATTTTCAGCAACTTGATCCTGGTCGGAGTGTGTCACTTTGAATCAAGAAACAATGAAGGGGCTCCTGAATCTCAGGAGCTCCCAGGCTCCCATGGGTAGTGACCAAGGGCAGAAGTATCACAGGCAACCTAAGCCATCCCCATCCAGGACCTCTGTCCCCACTGCTGTGCAGGCAGTCTACATGCCCATATCAAACAGTCTTAGCTCCAGACTACTTCTACACCAATTTCCTGGGTTGTCTAGAAAAACCCAAAAGGTACTCAAGAAGGAAATCTCTATGAAAATAGGAGGCACGGTCTCTTGAAATATGGCAGACCAGTGATCAGCAGCAAAATTTAGCCTGATATCTGGAATCCAGACACCTAGAAAATAATAATTTGGTGAAGAGGAAAAAAAAAGAATTATATCAATGGGAATCAGAAAGGAACAGACAGGAAAATTAGAAGCTACACAGAAGTTGGAGAAATGGACCACAGTGCTGAGAAAAGAATGAAAAAGTCTGGACGCTGAGCCCAAGGGAAGCTGCCACCACAAATGCAACGTAAGCACCAGGGGCCAGCACCTCTAGGCAGGAACAGTGGGCCAGGCTAGAGGACCTGGCCTCAGGAGGAGCCCAGGTTTTGCTCCAAGATGACTCCTTCCACACAGTGGGCAACACCAGAGAGGGGATCAGTCTGGAGCTGTCATACTGCCACACAGTGCTTACTCAGGTGCCATTTCAGGAAGGGGTTGATTATGTGTGTCTGGGATCAGAACAACCAAAAGACAATTTCACTTTAAGGTTCCCAGTTTAATTCTGCCATAATAACTAGGAGACGGACAGTCACAGGAGTCAGTTGTGGACAAGAAGCAGGCTAGACAGAACCCTTAATAGCTCCAAGCTCAGGCCAGCAAGGACACAGGTCCCTACCCTTTGTGGTGAGAAGCCAGACCAGGGTTGTACTGTGCACACAAACAGATAGGTTGGAAAGTGCTGCATTAAGTTATAAATCCTTGCTCTGCTGCCTACAACCAGCACAGATATAAAATCTGACTGCCTTCCCCATCTATCAAAGTGAGCAAGGACAAATCAATAAATGTAATACAGGTACCTCACATGAACAGAGGCAAGAACCAAAAAATCACATGATCATCTCAATTGATGCAGAAAAGGCCTCTAAGAAAATTCAACATCCATTTCAGATAAAAACCCTAAAGAAAACAGGTATAGGACCCTGAAGGAAACAGGCTTTTATCTCAATCTGATAAAAGCCATTTATGCAAACCAATGGCCAACATCATACTAAATGAGGAGAAGCTGAAAGAGTTCCCTCCAAAATCAGGAACAAGAAAAGGATGCCCGTTACTACCACTTCCATTCAACACAGTTCTCAAAACATTAGAAAGAGCATTCAGGCAAAAGAAAGAAATAAAAGATGTATATAGGAAAGGAGAAAGTCAAATTATCACTATTTGCAGATGACATGATCCTCTACACAGAGAACCAAAAAAATTCCAACAAAAGACTCCTAGAATTAATAATCAAATTCAGTAATGTAACAGTATACAAAGCCAACGCTCAAAAATCAATAGCCTTCCTGTACACCAATAATAAACTCACCAACAAAGAAATGAGGGAAACAATGCCATTCACAACAGCATCAAGGAAAATTAAATACTTAGGAATTAACCTAATCAAAGAAGTGACGGACCTCTACAATGTCATTCTGAAAAAGGAGTTCAGAAAGGACATCAAAAAATGGAAAGATACCCCCTGTTCCTGGATAGGCAGAACCAATATCATTAAGTGGCCAGAATTATAATACTGATGTACAGATTTAACACAATCCCAGTCAAAATACCAACTGCATTCCTCATAGAACTAGAGAAAGCAATCCTAAAATTCCTATGGAACCAGAAGAGACCTAGAATAGGGAAAGCAATCCTGGGCAACAAGAGCAAAGCAGGAGGCATCACAATCCCAGACTTCAAGTTCTACTACAAAGGTACAGTGATAAAAGAACCATGATATTGGCAAAACAAAAAACAAAAGACGTGGCTCAATGGAACAGAACAAATAATGCTGAAACAACCCCAAGCACATTCAACTACCTGATCTTTGCCAAAAGGGCCCAAAATTTACACTGGTAGAAAGGTAGCCTCTTTAACAAAGGATACTGGAAAAATTGGCTCCCCGCATGAGGAAGATTGAATTGACATCCATATCTCTTAAAATCAAAATGGATCAAAAGTCTAAATGTTAAAACACAAACACTGAATCTGCTGAAAGATAAAATAGATAAAATTCTTTAAAGACACAGGCAAGGTCTTTCTTTTTTTTTTTGGTACCAGGGATCAAACTCAGGACCTTGCACTTGTGACACAGGAGCCGGAACCACTGAGCTAAATCCCAGGCCCAAGGACATTCTGAAGAGAACCTCAGTTGCACAAGAAATGATACCAACAAGCAACAAATGGGAACATATCAAATTAAAAAGCTTCTGCATGGCAAAGAAAACTACTAACAGAGTGAAAGACAATGGGGAAAAAATTGCCAGCTATTTCTTGGATAGAGGACTAATATCTACAATATATAAAGAAATCACAAAATTAGGCTGCCCCAAAGTAAGACTCAATCAAAAACTGTGCATCTTAAATTAGTACAAATGGCCAGTAAATACATGAAAAAATGTTCAACATTTCTGGCCATTAGAGAAATGCAAATTAAAACAACACTGCGATTCCATCTCACTTCAGAAAGAACAGCTATCATCAAGAAATCAAATAGTAACAAATGCTGGCGAGGCTGTGAGGAAAAAGAACCCCTTCTATATTGTTGGTGAGAATGTAAACTAGTATAGTCATTTTGGAAATCAATATGGAGAATCATTAAAAAACTAAAACTAGAAATTCCATTTGACTCAGCTATTCCCCTTCTAGGCCCTTGAGATTGCAGCAAATCTGATGAAAGCCTGGAGCTTCCTGCACCACCAGCAGAGTCCATCTGAGGGATCAACCTCTGTAAAGGAAGGCAGCCCACAACATGCTTGAGTCCTGGATCCAGCAGTGACTAAAGCCAGACTGCCCTAAATGTCTCCATTGCACATGCCAATAAATTCCTGTCACTTAAGCCAATTTAAGTTGTAGTTCTGTTAATGCATTACAATAAAGAAAGAGTTCTGGGGCCAGGGATTTAGCTCAGTGGTTCTGGTGCCTGTCTCACAAGTACAAGGACCCAAGTTCGGTCCCTGGTACCAAAAAAAAAAAAAAAGAAAAGAAAGAGTTCTAATGAGACACCACCCAAAAAGGCCCCACACCAAAGTCTCCAAGGCTAGGGCAGGACCAGGTGCCGTGAGCTTGACTTGTCCACAGCAGCCGTACACACCTGCACTATCTTAGTTTGTATCCCCACCATGCCGCCACACTTCTCCTCTATCTGAACGTGCTCCGATATCACACACTTCTGGGTCGTCACGATCTTCTGCGTCAGGACACACAGGACCTCCTTCCTCCTCTCCAGCACCTGCTGGAGCACAGGGTTTTTCAGGTTTATTGTTCTGAAAAACAAAAACGGCCATGAGTGCCCCAGTGTCTCCAGGGAGATGGCTGCAGCAGGAATTTCCCCTCTTACACAGCTGGTGGCTGGGAAGGGAACAGCACAACCAGTTTGTTGATTTCCTGGGGATGAAAGAGGAGACAAGTCACCCCAAAAGGTGTCAACCAAACTCTCCTGAGGCCGCGGCAGATCAGCTTCCCTCAGGCTGTATACCAGGAGGAAGGGGACTCTCAAACAAAGCACTGGTTCCAAGGAAGAAGAAAAGAAATCTAACCCCCAGGGGAACAGCAGTCCATCTGCCTTAGACCTGGCAGCACTGAGGGGTGACAGATGCCTCAGCTGGGGCCCAGGAAGCACAGGAACATTATTCGGGGAAGGGGGGCTGGCTTCAAGCACAAGTAGCCAGGAAGAAGTCAGACTTGAATTAAAAAGGAACTTCTTAGCCTGACAGTAAGAAAAATGTGTAACCTCTAAGAAGGGTTTTTATATCACTTCATCCATGGAGAAACTCTCAGGCTAGTCTGGAATGGACCACCCTGGGTCACCCAGCAGAGACCTGGGACCTCTCCCAAACCATCTCCACCCAGGAGAAATTCAGCAGCACTTCAAGAACAGACTGCATTTCTATTTGCAGGACATGATTTTGTGCTTAGAAGCAATGATGAAATAAGCTCTTTGGAGTCTCCTTCATTGCTACATCTGGGCAGTGAGCAGGAAAAGAACCAAATAAGAGGGGGAGTCAGCATGGGAAGAATAAGTGTTCACCTGGGCTTTTTAGGCAATTCAAGGCTAAATACCTCATGAAGCTCAGTGCCCATTTCAAACCATACCCAGGGACAGGATGCCTACTTCAGGCACACTCAGATTCTCCAGGCTTGCGAATGTGTCACCTAGCTGGAAGAAGTCCCTGGGAAGGCCCATTTCAATGTACTAACCTGCCTGGGGTGGGCACATGGCCGATACATGAATGACACCAAAAATGTGGCACACCCACAGAATGGGAAATCATTTGGCAGTAGAAAGGAATGAGATTTTGACACATGCTACAACATGGATGAGCTTTAAAGACATTATATTAAGTGACATTGCATAAAAGGACAAATAATATATAATTCCACATATATGAAATATCTAGAATAGGCAAATTCATAGTAACAGAAAGAAGACTGGAGGTTATCAGGGGTTGGGGTGTGAAGAAAAGGAGAATAATTAATTGCTTAATGACTACAGAGTTCTGGTTTGAGGTGGTGAAGCAGTGCTAGAAATGGATACTAGTAAAAAAAAGAGAGAAAGAAAGAAATGGATACTAGTGACAGCTCCCCAACATCATGAATATACTTCATACCACTGTATTTTATACTTTAAAATGCCAAATTTTAGATTTTGTATATATTTTATTGCAATAAAAAAGGAAAGATAAATTTTAAAACTGGGTATATGCAATTAGCGTACGCCCAGCGGGGTTAAGTACCATACAAGCACTCCAGCCACTTTCCCATATTTGTCATGAGACCCACAGAGCAAAGCCACCATTAGCATACATCGTGGGAATTGTGAGCCATTTCACTGGGTCACAGGGACATCTTCACATCACTCCCTTGTTTAAAAGCTTTCAGTGGCTACATCCTGTCTCAACCACTTACCCAGGCTACAAGGCCTCCACGATCTGGTCCCGCCTCCTGCCTCCTTCCCCAAGCCTCACCTGCCAGCCTCCTCTCTGTGCCTTAAGCACACAAGGCACACACACAGCCATGGCCTACGCCACATCTCACGGATGCTTTGTCACCTCTTCTGGGAGGTGCCCCTTGCATGCTCTGCATACGCATCCCTATCACACTATCGCAGCCTAATACTTCTCTAGAAAGCGTATTTCCACACCAATATTTTTTTAGCTCATTCCTTTACTTGCTCATTGCCTAGGATATAAGCTTCATGGAGGTGGGGACCAGGCATGGGTACTGCATCAGCACCAGGTACACAGGAAGGACCTGATATTTTTTGGAATAATTGAATACAGAAAACATACAGTCTCTTTATCCCTTTCGTCTATTGCTTCAATGAATGTTTGCATGTGTGTGGATGCACCTAAGTGAAAGAGACACAATATACAGAAAGAGGAAAAGGAGAGTTAGCAGTTTGGCTTAAAGAATGGTAGGTAAGCCAGGTGTGGTGGTGCTTGCCTATAATCCCAGTACTTGGAAGGCTGAGGCAGGACTGCCATGAGTACGAGGCCAGCCTGGGCTACACAGTTCAAGGCCAGCCTGAACTACAGCTCAAGACTATATCTCAAAAAAAAAAAAAAGGTAGATAAGGAGATCTCTCCCATTTTTTGGCCACTGATGAAGTGGCAGTGAACAACACAAAGTTCGATCCCTTTATGACTTCTGACCAAAGCGAAAATCATAAAGAATAATCCAATTCCCCTTTCCACATTTGCAACAAGGTCACTTCTCTTCCCAGACAGCCAAGGCAAAACTACAACACTCCATATACGCTGGCTGGAAAGGACAAAGTTCAGGTTATGAGAGGACACTATAAAGGTCAGCATATTGGCAAAGTCATGGGAATACACAAAAAGAAATATGTTATCTACATTTACCGGGTACAGGGGGAGAAGACAAAGGCACAAGTATCACCCCAGCAAGGTGGCTATCACTGAACTAAAACTGGACAAAGGCTATAAAAAGATCCTTAAACAGAAAACCAAATTTGCTCAAGTAGGAAAAGAAAAGGGCAAACATAAAGAAGAAACAGATGAGAAAATATAGAAACAAAGTAACCTTATATACAACCTTCATTAAAAACTGCTAAGAAGGGCTGAGAATGTAGCTCAGTGGTGCCATGCCTGCCTGGTAAGCACAAGGTCCTCAGTTTGATACCCAGTACCAAAAAAAAAAAAAAAAAAAAAACTGCTAAGGACTGGGGATATAGCCCAGTGGAAAGCACCTGCCTAGCATATGTGAGGCCCTGAATTCAATCCTCAGGACCACAAAAACAAAACAGCTAAAATGTCAAAGAAAACTGTATTTCAAGGAAAGTGAGAAAGAACTCTGGAAATTAACACAGAAGTGATGGGAATCCTAAATAGCATGGAGAGCCAGAAGGACAACTTGAGAAACCCAGAGAAAACAACAAAGCAATGTGCAACTTCAACTTCCGCTCCTGACCTGGGTGAAGAACATGGCACTGCAAGAAAAAGATAAGTGGGCAAGTGGCAGCAATCTTGATCACAGCAGCAGGACAGCAGACCTCACTGCAGAAGGATACCAGTCTTCGCAAGCTTTAGATCCAATGTGGGGAGCTGGCTGATCTCAGAGCAACAGCTCTGCTCCAAAGAAGGAACCTACTCTGGGTCTCCTCCAGGCCCCAGAACCCAAGCTTCTAGGTGCCATATTGCCTTCAGGGCCAGCAGCCAGCCCCCTGACACCATCAGAAGCCTTGTGCTAGTGCCTGCTTCACTGGGCAGAAAACAGCTCCCTCTTACTTTCTGGAGCTTCAAGACCAGCAGCTGCCATAGCCACAAGCCTGAATCCCGCCCATACTGGACCCACAGAAACTGGGGACAGTCTCCTCCACAGCTTTAGCACCGCAGCTGCTGATGTAAAATCCTCAGCATCACCCAGCCTTATCCCTGGAGATCAAGGGAAAGTCCCACCCCTGTTCTGCTGTTCCAAGACTATAGCTACCAACACAATAAGCCTTGTCTACAACAGAGATTGCCCATTTGACCTAGGGCTATCCCTGCCCTTGTGCTTCAGCTCCAGGACCACAGAGACTAAAACCTCAAGCCCTAGTATCTGCTCTACTCAGGGGACCTGCAAAAGGATTCCCACACGTGCTACACCTCCAGAGTATGGATGCCAGCCCCAAGCCCAAACAATACTTGCACATGCCCCAGAAGACCTAGGGACATTGCCCACAGACTTGGGACCACAGCTGCGGGTATCTAAAGCCCTGGCAACATTTGTATGCTGTCCTTTGAAACCTGTGAAGGGTGTCATTTGGGTCCCACAGTTCCAGAAAAGTGTCTAACAGCACTACAAGCCCCATCCTCAACACTATTAGCCCCACAGATCTTAGGAAATGTCCCTTTTGTGTTTCAAAACATCAAGACCATGGTTATGGGGGTCCCAGATCCAAGCATCGTCTGTGCTCATGCTATAGGACTTGGAAAAGGGCTTATCTCATCCTATGTCTCTAGAACTAGGGCTGCTTTGCCACAGGCCCAGGAATCTCCCACACTCACACCGAGTCCTCAGGAAGGTCTCCCTCAGATTCTGTGCCTCAGGAACCATGTCTGCTGGTGCCACAATCCTGAGTGTTCCTTGTACTTGTCCTGAGGGACCTGGGGACTGTCCTATTCACACTCCATACCATTCAGACTGTGGCAGCTTCAAGGCCAGTGCCATCAGGGCTCAACTCTGTGGAGCCTGAAGACACTCACCTTTGGAAACCTCATCTACTACAATGTCACTCGACTACCTCCATGGGTGTTGCAGTCTAGACTATAGACTCGTGAACACTGCTGACGTAAATCAAAGATGAAGTTACACAGAAACTATGATTTTGAGCTGCACATGGCCAGAGCCAACTGACATCCTATATCCCTATCTAAAGGAAAAAATATTTTCTTACAAAACCTACTTTATAAAATTGGAAGAGGGGAACGTTATACCAATTGCAAACATCAAGATATGAACACAAACTTGAAAAAAAAAATGAAACCTGCAAAGGAAAACAATAATTCCCCCCAAATCTCAATTTGATGGAAATCGAGAAAATGCCTAAAACAAATTTAAAATAATGATCCTAAAGGAACTCAGTGAAATCCAGGAGAATACAGGTAAACAATATAAAGAAATGAGAAAAACAATTCAGGATGCAAGTGAGAACTTCATCAAAGAGAGAGAATTCATTATAAAGAATGAATCAAAAGCCCTAGAAAAAAACTTCAACCAGTGATATAAAAAATATCACTGAAAGCTTCCACAACAAACTAAA